GAGAGGCTCCTGGAGATAACGATGAATCTGCGTGGTAACTTTTGAGAGTCGCCTCTAAATCGTTCGACGGATTTTTCTCCTCGCTGGTGGAACGTTAGACGGTACCCGTTTGACAGGTACAGGCACGCACGTCGATCGCGGTTACTAGAAACGCTCTAAAATCGACACAAAAGACACGGATACCGTTGGAGGGAACGTCGTGCGGTACTCACACTTCGAGGATCCGGTCGCCTTTTCTCACGCCGGCCTTCTCGGCAGCACCCCGAGGCAGCACCGCGCTTACATGCTGAAGCGGCGCGTACAATTCCCCGTTGATGCTTCTCAGTTGTCCACCCTCGCTGACCTGGCCGCGTACGTTGAACCCGAAACCAGTCTCGGTTTTGTAAATGGTGACGCATCTGGGCCCCTGTCCGATTGGGTTCCCCTGGTTCACCGGGTGCTGAGGTACGCGCCCGTTGTTGATCATCGTCACGCCAACGCTCCTCGTTACGTCCTCGTTCGCGGCTGGCAACCGCTGCTGCTCCTCCGACTCGCAGTCCGCCATCTTACTCTCTGACCGCCCATTGATGTTCCTCTCGTACGCGGATCCGCCGCGAGACTGCGCCCGCGTCGACGCCACTCGCTTCGCTCCTTCCCTCTGGGCCTGCCCCCACCCCGTCCCGTGAATCATGCGCACGCTAGATCGGAAACCCGGTGCTCGTTCTCGCGAACCTGCCTTTCTCCATCTTCCTTTCGCCATTTTTTTTTTGTTACTAGACTGCGGATTCGATGACGCATTTCTGGCGAAATTCTGTAAATATATACAGAGCTACGAAAGCGTTAAAAGAATCGATTAACAAGTCTATTTTGAACAAATCCGCTCTAGACGTCGCATCTTAAAAAGAATAAAACCTTTTTGTTACACTGCTTTTAATTTATTGACAGTATATTTCGTATATTTATAATTTTATTATATATTTATATATTATATTATATTTTGTATATATTATATATTATACCTTGTATATTTCATTTGTTTTCATTGCTATATCGCGGCTCTAGCATATAAGTAGATCTTTTTGTAAAATAAAGATTGTATACATTGCAAAATATAAAAGCTATTACAACTACAATTTGATTTCTTCCTTTAATAATTTTGTGTAGTTATAATTACTACAACAACATTCGTAGTTTCTATGAATCTTTTCACTGTTTTCAATTCTTACACAGCCATTTTTGCCAGAAATGCATAAAATTCATAGTCTAAATGCAAAATATCATTAACGACGAACACCTTGGATAAACTGCCATAAGTATCGCAGAGTTATTCTTCTTCTTCAGTTTGAAATTCAAACGAGTTCTACATACATTGACAGTCTTAACCACGGTGTATAACTGTGGTCTTGACAATTGACACGTCAGTAAATTTTGCGAGGTTACTTTTGAGTCATGCAGTATAATTCCATAGCGGTGTGGAAGTGGAGATAATGGCAGATGACAGATGGCGTCGAAGTGTTTCGTACCAAGTGTCACGTTACTAAAATGTTGGATAGCTATGGGAACGGTACGTTAATGCAACCTAAAAGATTCAACAGTGGTTAAAGTGTCTACTAAAACCTGGCGTTTCTGTTCATAAATGGAAATGTCACCTCGTTTCACTCACTCTACGCTATTGTAAGGTATAGTAACCTTGACAGTAACCATACGCTTACGAAGTGCGGACAACAAAACTGGATAATCCAATTGCAATCGCATTAGCGGTTCTGCGACAGTTCACTTCAACATTCTAAAATGCGTGTTTGCTGACTGCATCGATTACCATCGTGTGCTTTGTTCTTAGCAAAATGTAAGTATCGTTCCGTTTAGTAATTTTCGTTTTCATTCATAGATCTTCGTGACACACTGTCGTGTATACAGAGGCAACGATGTTGAGCTCAAAGGTAACCGAGAAAGGGACACTGAAGTACACCAGCGTAAACGACCTGTTACAAAAAGCAAAGGTCGATTACAAAAACAAGAGACCGATTGAAGTCTCGAAAAGGTTACCCATCATGTACAACAAAGCCGAAGAGAATGGGAAACAGGGGAACGAAGAGGATCAGTACATCATGCTGAGAAGATGGCTGAATTCTATAGAATGGTTGAAAACAACGCACGAGTACAAAGACGACAAGATATACTCACTGACGCATTTAAATGTTAATCAGGTGGGAAATTGTATATGATTTATATTAAGTTTATTGTTCGCAGATAAGGGTCTCTCGAATTGTAACGTCTTGAAGCAGCAGGCAATAGTTTGATACACTGTCTAAAGTAAAGACAAGTGAAATGTATATATCATGTTTACATTGTAGATCAATGAAGTAAAAAAAATGCTTGCAGTTTTGAAGACAAAATTAGACACGAGGTACAAGCAGCAAGCGAAAGCAAGAATATTAGAAAAGAGCACTACTTTGGAGAAAATGGACATTGATAATGATGCCGGGATCAATTCTTTTATGTCCTCGCTTGACGGTCCGATACAACTGCCAGAAACTCCAACCAGAGATCCATTAGCTGGTGATAACGAAGAGATCATAAACTGTGAACAGCTCTTTCAATTGGTACAAGACTTATATGGCAGATATTTGATAATCGACATTAGGTCCAAGTCGCAGTATGAAAATTCCAGAATAAGGTCCAATAAATCTGTCAATATTCCAGCCAGTGAGATAAAGATCGGGTATGCAAATGATACTTCTTTTTACCAGAAAGAATCTTATTGTGTTCTAACGTTTTTATAAAATGATTTCAGATTATTAGCACAGCATTTCGAAAAATACCTCCGTAAAGACAAAAAGGCTTTGCAGTTGTACAGAGAAAGATCAGCCCAGTATGTGGATGTTACAATTTTACTCGATTGGAACACGTCGAGCAAGACTCTGGGGCTGAACAATCCACTAAACGTGCTCAGGAAGATTTTAGAGAGCTGGGACCCTGGCATACATAACAAGAAAGTTACTATCTTAGATGGCGGTTACAAGGAATGGTTGACACGCTATCCGGCGTATACAACAAACCCTAATATCGTGGAGCCTAAATTAAATAATACTTCGATGGAAATATTGGATGACATTGAGTACCCTGAATGGATACACTTCGACGACGAGGATAATCTGAACAAAGCACGCGAAAAGAAAATGTTTCTCTCGAAGTCTGTAAATAAGGAAGAGAATGCGAGGATAAACGTTTCCACGAATGAAATAGGCTATAAGCAGATGGACGTGGAAATACGTAATAATATTGCTTCTATAAAATCGAACGACTTCATGAACAGTGGTTCTACTAAGATCAACACTGTGGAATTGGAGAAAATTAATGTTAACAACGATGTTTGGAAGGGATTAAGCGAAACTCCGTCGAAGCTCGAACAGGAAAGGAAATTAAGTGCGAGGAAGAAAACTAATATCTCCGTGAAACCGACTGTCGATCGCAGTAAGAAACCGGTTTTGTTAGATGCGTCCACGTCCGAAGCTAAGACTGTGTTGAAATTACTGCGGCAGCTGAACGAACTTGCGAAAATCCACATGCGTTTGGAACAGGACATCTTGGAACATGAACGTTCCTTGTACGTGCAGTATTTTACCGAGTACGAAGAATCGAGTGAAGAGGCGTACATTCGCGGGAACAGTTTGAAATCTCTATGCCGGAAATTGGAGGAAAAGGTAGCAAACGTTTAACATTGTAAACGAACAAAATTGAACGGAGTAAAATAAATTACAGCTTCACTTTTATATAATAGAAAAAGGAGTACAAGAAGCTCGAAGACGAACTTGATAAGTATTATTCAAGGCCTGAGCCGATCGAGTTCAACCCTGCCGAAGACATGGAGAAACGCAACTTGGAATTTAGTCTCGGTTCAGCAAAACTGGACATGAAGAATATAGCCAAAGCGAGAAAGAAGCTGGGAGAGTAAGTCTTTCGTTGAGTTATAAATAAATTCCTTCGCAAGCGTCACAGAGAGAATTAAATATTTTGTATTTTCTCATTTATACAGGAAAACTGCGAAGAATGAATTCAAAGACTCGTCAAATAAAACGGATACTAGTATTCACAATGAGTCTTTAAAATCGGATGGTTCGTCGACGATAAGTGGTGGTTTGGAGCGATCGTATTCTAGTCCGAATTTGCTACAGGTATCTATCTTAAATTGGAAAACTGTTTGTATAGTTAAACACATTGAATAAATTATTTTAACCGTTTAGCTAATAGATCGCAAAGCACCAAGAGTGGACAGGACGTCGAAGCCACAGATTCCACTGCATAGTCAAAACGGTTTACACAGCAATGAAAAAGTGTCTCACATTAGTTGGGCAAATCGTGAAGAAAGGATGACACCTGTTCATGGAAGTGTGGTACATATCAAACTAAGATTAGAGCCTATAATATTTATAAAATATTGTTTCCGGTAGTACACATACTTTGGATCTACGTGGTTCCTCTTCTCGTTAGAATGGACACGGAGATTCAATTAGTAGATAAACTTTTCAATCGCTAAAATGATAAATCAGAAATTACTCCAAACCCGCGACGCGAGAAGGCTCATGAGCACGAGAAACCAGCACCTGTAAGGCATCTGAATCCAATTTGATAGTAATGCGTCATGTGCATCAGTATTTACGCGGCCAACGTCACATTAATAATAGATACCTGTTCATTCTTTATTGAACCTCTGAGTGAGGCCACGATTCTGTATGTTTTCTTTTTTTCAACTCCCAACTGTGTACAGTGCGCGTTCATTGTAAGCTAGAATGTTGTGACAGATTTTTTCTAACATTCTGAAGCATGTAAAGGAAAGTTTCATTATTGTACTGTGTACCGAAAAATGGTAAACTCGTCTAGAAAATTTGTGCCTCACTTTAATGTTCACTATTTCCGAAAGGTAAACGAAAAGATGAATAAGATTCTATCAGTGTGATCAATTAATTGCATTAACATGACGAAACATCGAATTTTTGAAACAGTGTAAAGTGTTTTTAATTTTACTGTGATCTGGTTAATGTGAAACTGTTTGGAAAGTGTGCTGACGTTTGTGTTACAGCATCCAGGCATAACAGGGTTAAAGAACTTGGGGAACTCGTGTTATATGAATAGTATTATACAATGCTTGAGCAATACGACGCATTTAGCCAAGTATTTCACAGATAACTTGTACACCGACGATCTTAACACGAATAACGATAACAACACGCAAGGTCAAGTCGTAGAAGAGGTAGCTCAAGTGATTAAAGCCCTTTGGAGAGGCCAATACAAGAGCATATCTCCCCACGATCTTAAGGTATATTCGATTCAATATTAAAAAAGAAATGTAAACGATGCTAGAGAAATATTTTTGTAAATTGAAACGCAAAAATTGTAATTTCCAGATTGCTGTCGGACAATATAAATTGCAATTTGAAAGTTACGAACAGCAGGATTCCCACGAGTTTCTGACTTTCCTGTTAGATTGGATGCACAACGATTTAAAAAGGGTACGTACGTCTCTGCGTACCGTGTATTTTATTACTTTTCAGACCGCTTGACACTGACCGTATTATATTCGCAGAAGTGTAAGGTGCCCTTAGATATGACTGTTGCAGAAGAAGCGTGGGACAAAGCAATGGGATCTATGAAATCAATAATATCTGACCTGTTTTTTGGTCAGCTAAGGTCCACCATTATGTGCAGCTTTTGCAAACAAAGTAGCACTACTTACGAAAGTTTCAACAGTTTGACGACATCGTTACCTCATTCCAACCGGTGTACATTAAACGTAAGCGCGAATCCTCCAGCATTAATTTATAGCATAACCGATTGCCTAGCTTTAAACGGATCATTTTGCTCGCAGGATTGTATATTACGATTTGTAACCGGTCAGAAAGTAATCGGTTGGAAGTGCCCGAAGTGTCAGACCCCGCGGGAGGCTACGAAAAAGTTCGATTTCGTTAAACTCGCGCCCATAGTGGTGATACACTTGAATCGTTTCGCTGAGAGTGGTGGCTGGCTCGAGAAGAGGAACACTGCTGTCGATTTTCCTCTGACGGACTTTAATTTGAAACCATATTTGGTTACAGACAGCAACACACCTACAATTTCGAACATTCGTAGCTATAATTATAGTTTATACGCAATGTCTAATCACTATGGAACCATGGAAGGTGGTCATTACACGGCATATTGTAAAAATGCCACCCAGAACAAGTGTGTATACATTTTCTAGTCATGTGTTATATTTTCATTGTGTTATTACCGTCCACGGATAACATGTTTTCCCTTGCCTTTTTTAGATGGTATAAGTACGACGATCAGACAGTAACAGAAGTTACGACGAACCAAGTGAAATCGCAGAACACCAGTGCCTATCTCTTATTTTATACGTCGTTTTCAAGCAACATTATTTAGTATCAGCATAAACAGCCGCGCGACGTGGTTATCCGAATTTATTACTTAAATAGTCGTAAATGTTATGTAACAATGTAGATATTAAATATTTTTTGTATGTATGTGTATTAAATATGTTATTACAGGCTGTTCGGTGCTGGGGTATGCAAACAATATGTAAATAAATAATCGTAAGCAGACATGTTATTTCGGTACGCTAAAATTTTTGTTGCGTCTCGTGACTTTCGAATTGTATTGGAAAATATTTAAAACGTCACTTCATTTCACTGGGCACGGTACTGCAATGTATTTCAGTAATGTTGTTACACTTTTGTAATTTAGTTACTTTTTCTTCATTCCTCTATACTTTTGCAGAGAAATGAAACTTTGTAAGAAGAAAAAAAAAGGTATTCTATGGTTTATTTAAAAACTCATTGCACATTGTGTAAATTATTGTTTTTCGTTGATGTTTCGCATCTCTGTGTGTGTGTGCAAAACCCGATCAAGAACAACGATAGATAATTCTGCGATGTTAATTTTATGAAGCACTTCCGATTGGTCATGTTGTGTTAGAACAGCCGAGACATTGTTTTATAATGTTACTGTTTGATGAAGCTGTGATGACCAAACGATTGTCCAAAACGTAGGAGAGAGAGAGAGAGGAAACGCATTGTGTTCAAACATTGCTTGTGAAAATATTGTTGACAAATCATTTGATATTCATTGGACATGATGTTTCGAAAGTGCCATCTCTAGTGTGCTTATTTTGTATATGAAATAAACATTTTCAAGCTTATAAACTCCCGATGACTCGTCTTTATTTACAATTTAATTACAGTTTAATTACTTGCTTAATGAGCAACTGTTCAATAACGCTTCGTTCTCTATGGTTATTTAATTAAACAAAATATTAAATGCAGAACGTGTTCATTATTGATACTGGACTTTTTTACCTTTGCGAATCTATTATCTTAGTGTATGTGACTACCGTTTTTTTAATTGAATATTAACTATCAGGGATCGATCCCCTTTGTTTTCTAAACTTTGTCGGAAAAGCTGCGCGTGTTGCCATGCACAGTCACCCTGGCCGCCGCGAACAGTGGCTGTAAGAGTTAATTTTGTCGAACCCTCTAATCGATCCGTGGAGTAATTGTTACAATCGTTTACGGAAAATACTAAAGATTTGCTAGGTTCTGTGTTATTAAAGAATGCTTCTAACTGCCATAATACACTCGCTCCTTGATACTCCGCTATCACAGTTCGCAGGTGAAACGTCGACACGCATAAATTCGGATTTGTAATTATAAAATTCCATTTCACTTGCCCGGAAGCAGCTTCGGGAGAACGAGCCAAGTACACCATTTTCCAATCGGACTCCGATTTTCGAAAAATCCCGCCTTGCACCTCGTTCACACCATTTTGCCAACCAGACACTTCCTCTATCATTCTATCATCATCATCCATCACCCTGTACACATCTTTAACGATCGAATAACACAAATGGAATGTTTCCCCATACTTCGAAATATCCCAGGAATAGGTTGCTCCTGGACTCGACTGGAATGTTTCCATTACAATTTTGGTTTCATTTCTCGTTTAATATGAATTCTCGGGCGGCACTCCCAACTTACCTGCGAAATCTCGCCTCTCGCCAATCTCCATTTATATGAACCGGTAGTCCTGCCCTGATAGCTTTTATCGTTATCAGACATCTGATCGCTGGGCATACGTATTAATTCTACGAGTTCTAATACTCTGCGTTTGATCACGTACTGCCTACGCGACGAACTATAATTCGGAGAACACTGTCGGTACTTATTTAACGATTCAATGAATTGCAATAGATTGTTCTCTGAACAAAGATTCCTTCTTTTCATCACAGCTGGTTGGTCCCGCGTGTACCGCCATGTAACGTCTTGCACTTCGTCCTTCGAGAAAGCAAATACGTAATTCAATTTCTTATTCCATCCCTTTTCATACATTAACGGACGATCTATGACGTCCTCGCACGGGTCCACGTGGATCCATCGCTGTTCACTAATGGACCATACCTAAAGCATCGTTCATCATTTTAAAAGAACGACTGGCAACCATCACAAATTATATTGGTAAATAATTGATGCGCATTCGCACCTCTATCCAAACGTGGTCGGTCTTATCCCATATGAATCTCGAATCGTATCCCAACGAACAGCAGAAAAGCATAAATACATTAGCCCACTCTCCGCAACGCCCGCGTCTTAGAGTTAGCAACGGTTCCGGATCATTGTAACGCGGAAATTTGACAAACGCGTCACAATTGGTACACCTAGAATAATATACAATTCACTTTTTAATCAATAATTATTAATACACAGGCTGAACCAATAAGAACTGCCAACATTTTTTAAACGGAGTTCTCATTGCATCACCCTATGCAAAATAAAAGAAAGCATTGACGAATTACTTGTGTATCTCTACATTTGAACACCTGGGGTCTTCAGAAGATACAACCTTGTGCATTTCACAACTACCCATACACATAGAACACCTGGGACTATCGACCCATGTGAAAAATTTATATTTAAACCAATGCGTGAGCTCCATTAGAAACAATTCCTTGACATCTATGTTGTTCTCTTCGAATTGTGTTTTGTTACTTGTTTCTGGATTCTCTTTACTCAGCTTGATACGCCTATAATGATAATGTATTACAGAAAAAGTACGAATAACAGACAGATGAAAAATTGCAATGAAAAATTACTCTTGCAGTTCTCTCATCCTATTCATGGTTGCTATCTCAAGTTCAGCGATAGGTATTAGCTTCTTCGCTTTGGTCTGTAAAAGTCGGTTCTCGTAGTACTGGAACACACTTTGGAAGTGATGGACAATGTTTGTGAACAAGGCTCTTTCCAATGGATCGGTTGTTTTCGGCAGCAAGTTGTAGGCTGCTGTATTGTCTATGACATTGTTCCTAGAGGAGCAGTTCTCGGATAGAAGATTTTCTAAAGCTAGTAGCTTGCAGAGAGACGCCTCCGGTGGTAAGATCAGAGAGTCGGCAGCCTGTTAAACAATTGTAAACTCTAAAGTTGTGGGACGAATATTGGAGATACTGACTGAATGTTGTCACTTTTAACGCAATTACCTCGACAAATCCAATGTCAAATAAACATTCCATAGCTCCAATAGCAGGAAGCAGCTTCTCAATTATAGGGTCCTCCAGACACACCTCTCTGAACTGTTTGTCATTAGGATGAGATAAGATGTTTTGACAGACAGTTAATAATGCACTTTCTGCGTTGCTTCGAACGATTTCGTCGTTCTCTTTTAATAGGTCTAGACAACGTTGTAAATCTTTATCCATGATCGTATTGTGCAAATAATCATCAAGAATGACACATGTAAACTCATGCGAAAAATTCAATTTTGCAGATGCAACCGAGTATATATTGTGGCGCCTCTGGTGGAAGAACAATGAAGCTCCTTTCGATGTCCGTACAGCGCCAATTAGTGCGGTGGAAGAACGCTCAAACTGTTCGCCGAATTATCGACCGTCGAATTCGGCGAACAGTTTGAGCTGTCTCTTATACACATCTAGATGTGTATAAGAGACAGCTCAAACTGTTCGCCGAATTATCGACCGTCGAATTCGGCGAACAGTTTGAGCTGTCTCTTATACACATCTAGATGTGTATAAGAGACAGCTCAAACTGTTCGCCGAATTATCGACCGTCGAATTCGGCGAACAGTTTGAGCTGTCTCTTATACACATCTAGATGTGTATAAGAGACAGCTCAAACTGTTCGCCGAATTATCGACCGTCGAATTCGGCGAACAGTTTGAGCTGTCTCTTATACACATCTAGATGTGTATAAGAGACAGCTCAAACTGTTCGCCGAATTATCGACCGTCGAATTCGGCGAACAGTTTGAGCTGTCTCTTATACACATCTAGATGTGTATAAGAGACAGCTCAAACTGTTCGCCGAATTATCGACCGTCGAATTCGGCGAACAGTTTGAGCTGTCTCTTATACACATCTAGATGTGTATAAGAGACAGCTCAAACTGTTCGCCGAATTATCGACCGTCGAATTCGGCGAACAGTTTGAGCGTTCTTCCACCGCACTAATTGGCGCTGTACGGACATCGGAAACAGCTTCATTGTTCCTCCACCAGAGGCGCCACATGTGCGCAACATAGGATCGCCTAAAAACATTAATTTTGACAAAATTAAGGCATAAGAAACTAAACTAAAGACACAGAACTGTTCAAGAGACTCTACTGCATCGATATCGTATGCAACAACAAATGACAACATTGCAAAACTTAGTTAATTGCTCTTTAAAGTTTGATTAACTATTATTTCAAATAATTATATCTTGCGTTATTTTTAATTGATTTTCTTATACGACATCGATGCAGCAAATTCTTCTGAACAGTTACATGCTCTTGGTTTACCTTTTTATTCCCTAATTTTGCCATAATGAATGTTTTTAAGCGACTCTACATTGTGCATATGTGGCGCCTCTAGCGGGGAAACAGTGAAGCTGCTTCCGATGTCCGTACAGCGCCAATTAGTGCCGCGGCGAAACGCTCAAACTGTTCGCCGAATTACCAACAATCGAATTCGGCGAACAGTTTGAGCGTTTTGCCACCGCACTAATTGGCGCTGAACGAACGCCGAAAGCAGCTTCACTGTTTCTCCACTAGAGGCGCCACATATGCTTTCCGCAGAGTCGCATAAAAACATTAATTATGTCTAAAATAACGCATAAAAAATTAAACCAAGGGCACAGAATTATTCAGAAGAATCTGCTGCATATTACCATCTTAGAAAACCAAACGATAACAACGTAAATTATAATTAGTTAACATAATACTTAATCAAACTTCAAAGAGCAATTGTAATTACTTTTCGCAATGTTGTCATTCGTTTTTGTACGCGATATCGACGCAGTAAATTCTTCCGAACAATTCCGGACCCTTCGTTTAGTTTTTTATACCCTAATTTTGCCATAATTAATGTTTTTAGGTCCAGGGTCCCCATAATCAATACCTTAGGTCTTAGACCAAAATTGGGTACAATGTACAATGTGTACGATTTACATAAAATTTCTTTTTCTTGCCGGTCATGATGAAGTGAATGCGATCTTCAGTTCGTTTTTTAAATGAAACCTAAATCTTCTTTTCATGAAAACTGTATGCTCATCTGTGATTTCTTTTCACAGCCTTATATTTTGTAAATCAATGGCCCTTGATCGTGACGTGATTTCGCGACCTGCGATTTGCCCATTTGCCATTGCATTCAAATAGCGGGTAAGGTCACTGTTTTATCTGTTTAAGTGCTTGATACGTGTGTTTGTGCTCGTGATTCAGCAAAACGATAATTACATATTGTAACTCGCCGGTAACTGTTGCAGAAAAGCCACATTCTACCAGTGATCATCGCCCCAGTCAGTTGAAAATCCTCTGAAAATGGTGAAAGCCGTGTGCGTTCTTCAAGGCGAAGTCAAAGGCACCCTGTTCTTTGAACAAGCGGTAAGCAATTGTTCGTGAACGTTCGTTACAGATTTTATCGTGATCGATCGTTATTTATATTTTATTTTCATAACATAATTGTCATGTAGGACTCTTCAAGTGCGGTGAAGGTCACCGGTTCGGTTAACGGCTTACACAAAGGACTGCACGGTTTCCATATTCACGAGTTTGGCGATAATACTAACGGTATGCTTCGTTTATACAATATATATATATACATGGCTTTATATAAATTCAATTGAACAACTATAAAATTGATAATTAAATGAAACAATGTTTCCATGGATTCGGTGATTGAACGACATTCGTGATATTTACATAGCTAAATTTAGAGGTCAAAAAATAATTATCCTGTAATTACGAATTCTAGAATCTCTAAATATATTTGAGAAATTGTCTTGATATTCATTTATTCTACACGTATACATAACACATAGATTGTTCGAATAAATGAAACTCAATATTTTAAATGTCGTTTTTATATCTAAATTTAATAGGGTGTACAAGTGCCGGCCCTCACTTCAATCCATTGGGAAAGGATCATGGTGGACCACAATCAGACACACGTCATGTTGGAGATTTAGGAAATGTTGAGGCGGGTGCCGATGGTGTTGCTAATGTCAACATTACTGACAAGATAATCCAGCTGCAAGGAGAACACAGCATAATCGGCAGGACCCTTGTGGTAAGATGATAATTTTATCATTCAGTTTTACTTTCTATAAACTTATTTATATCCATTGTTCGATTCTTTGTATCAGGTGCACGCCGATCCGGACGATCTTGGCAAAGGTGGACATGAATTATCAAAAACCACAGGAAATGCTGGCGCCCGCCTTGCTTGTGGTGTGGTTGGCATTGCAAAAGCTTAAATCTATATATTCTGATACAATACCGAAAACTGTAAACCAATTAGGCGTTCAGAGAACAAGTTCAAATATCATTCCTGCTTTCCTATAATAGGAATCTGTTACATGTCTTATAACCTTTGGTACACTAATGTTGACACCAATAAAAAATATGTTATGATTTCTTTATAAATTAGTTACGTAATATTATTTCAAATCCATCCCTCTAAAAATTATGCTCATCTTTTCCCATATCGAATCCTTCCCATGGATCAAGTTGTCCTACTTTGTTCTTTTATACTATTCTATTGAAAATAAATTTCAACATAAATATATTCTGAAATGTTGTATTTTACTGTATGTATGTAGCAATGTATTTAAAAGACTTATACTGTCAATAAAATAATAATATCCACGAAAAAAATTCTTTCTACACAGAACTTAATATTCTAAACATCTTTAATTGGGTCATTACTGCAACTAATAAAAATAGCAAATGAATAACCTTGTCTGATAAACATGTTATGCATTACCTGAATCTTCTGGAAGCTTACATTATTTAAAACTAACAATACTACATCGAATTGTTTTTATTCGGCTTTCCCCAAAGCAAAATCCCTTAAGACACCCACAAAATGCATTTTATTTGTAAAAAGGGTGCATTCGATTTAAAAAAAATGTGAATATGATCTGCAAAAATATGGATTCGGACCTATAAAAAATTAATCTATTTCATATTTTTTACGTAACATCGCTGAAAGTAATCGTTACACCACGATAATTATATCATACGTTTCAGATAAAGTCTTTGTGTAGTAATGATATTAATACCGTGGATGAGATTTTGTGTTGTCGACATTTATTTTACGTATAATAGTAAATCATTATAACAAAAAAAAAAACGATACATACAATAGTGCACATGCTCTAAATTTTTTAGTCTTTTTAATAATGAGTCCAAATATTTCTTTATGCATTCCATACATCGATTATTAATTATCATTCATCGTGTGTATAAATAAATGAATGCGTAGTTACATGTTTGTTACATAACGCTAGTTTACAAATACATAGACACCTGTGCAATCTTATAGTTTTTGTTATAGAATGCTAGTCAGAAAAAAAGAACTAGAAACCAGACGAACTTCCACGTAAATATTGGTAACACGTGTATTCGGTGTTTGGCTTTATGCGCATGTGGTGTTTTATGCACAAGCACCTAGAACAACTGACGTTTCCGTCACTTAATTAATTCGATATATGTAATCTGTGTGCACGTTGATTGAACCGGCAAGTGTCATAATAAATTTATATTTATTATGAAAAGCGATGCTGTCTCTGTCCTTCTAGATTTTTACATCGTCTCTATCGCATCGATTAAGAGAAAAAGTTTCAAAGAAATCACCAGATGAGAATGAATTTGCACGCTAAAAGATGAAATGACGTGCCGAGAGTGTTTCACGAAATTGTTAATATTTGTGATAATATAAAACTTGCTACCTCGAATGACCGATTTACCGTTGAAAAATAAACGAATATTAATCTCACTTGTGTGAACGATGTAAATATTGAAGTTCTAAAGAACAGTTGATTGCAATTTTAGGGAAGGCTCATTTGATTGTAATTTATTTACTTTGTATAGAGTGTGTGTTAATATGTTCAAACGAATTGAAAATAATGGAGAACATGAGTATTCCGTACCTGCCAAACGAACAAAATATGATACGAACAAAGTATCCTTGGCTGGCGTTTCTACAAATCGTAGAAGCTCAACAAACAAAAAGCTTGGGAAGGCTGATGATGTATGGGGCGATGATTTTGCAGAAGAAGATATCGAAGAGATGGATTTTGTTGCCTCGCAGGCTTGTGTACGGGTTTCATTTATTATTTTTGTTAACTCTCCGAGCACAGGTCTCTTTTGATCTAAACTAGGCCATATATTCAATGATTTTCTTCTTTGTAGGAAGAGATTGCTTTGACTCAAACAAATCGACAAGTATCGTTTGTGCAAAGATGTAGTAATGTAGCATCCACAAGCAAAGTTGCTGCTAACATAAATAATGTTATGAATAAATCATTAAGATCTCCTGCATGTATGTCTCAAAAGAGAGGAGTGGAAAACTTGAAGGATATCAGTCAAATAGTATCTGTTAACTATAAAGAGTTTGAAGATAAATTAATGAATAGACAAGTTTATAATTCAACGTTTAAAGTAGAAGAAAGTGTTGTTCCATCAGGTAATATCACAAGTCGTTACTTCTCACAAAACTATGTAATCGATGTATATTAATAGTTAATTTGTAATTACAGAATCAAAATACATAATGGAATTAGAGAAATTAAGATCTGAAAATAAAAAGTTATTAGATGATTTCATAACGAAAGAGGGAGAAACAGTCTTTTTACGCAATCAATTACAACAGGCTCAGTTAAGGGCAGAAGCTGATAAACTGGAGAAGACACGTTTTATCGAGGAGCAAGAGAGTCGACATAGAACGGAAATAAATGCAATGTGTAAAGAAAAAGAGTATCTGAAGACTCAATTTGAACTACAAGTTTGTATTTTTTTAACTGTAACATTGGTATTTAAATTCATTATATTGCGAATCAATTACTATTTCTTCTACAGACGTTCGAAGTAGGCAATTTAATGGAACGCTGCAAATTGTTAGAAACGGGAAATGTTAAATTAACAGAACCATGCTCTATAAATCTGAATACCTCTATGAAGAAAAATAAATTTAATTCATCAACGAACAGGTATTTTATAAAGTTGTTTAATACAAAATCATTCTTAAGATTTTCTGTTTCTTGACACTGTTATTTGCAGGACATCAATGTCAATGGCAAAGCCAGTGAAAGTAAAAGAATCTTGTGTTCAAGCTACTTTACACGATAAGAGCAGTCATATTCTCAAAACTTGGAGTCCTTGTAAGTAGAATGCAATTAAACGTTAGCATACTGTATGTTATGTATACTGATGCATTGTAACTTCTGCAGATTATCCTTTGACAAATATTTCTAAGTTAGTATATGATAAACCGCAGCCAGAAAAACCAATAGTCAACATTCAAGTGATAGAGAAAACTGGTCGAAGAAATTTACCGATTTTGCAGGAAGAAGATACATTTAGAATATTTGGTAAAATTTAATATTGAAACTGATTTCGCGCGCTGTGAAGAGAGAGGCTTCATGTTTGCTATTACAGAAAATCCAGAGCTTGTGAAACCTGTAACTATGATAGACGAGAGGAGGCTGTCGATAGAATTTATTTTACCGGAAATAGCAGCTCTTCAACGTAAAACGAATTCTGAGCTCGAGTCCGAAAATTCAATATGCGTAATGAATAAAGTGTGTAGCTCAGTTTTCCGTGGGCAGCTACTATTTTATTTAATTAATTGATAACGTTACCATTACGTTCTAGTTGGTCTCTACTTCGAGGGAGTTGCTTCTGAACGTGATCATTGTTCTCCAGACAATTTTTCAAGCTATGAGAAACGATGATATTCGAGACATGAACGACATTTATTTTTCTGACCTGTACTCGAATTCTGATTTCAATGGGAAGTCTGTATGCGATGCTAACGCGTGGCACGAGTGCGAGCGCGGTGTTGAAGTGAGAAGGGTGTTCGGCGTGATTTCATATGTGACTCTGGAATCAACGTATCTGAGCAAATACATTGCTGGAAAGACACCGTTGTTCATCGAAAGGGATGAAAATTACAAAAGTTATTCGCGGCAAATGGTTCGTTACGACATGTGGCTAGAGAAGGGTCAAGATTTTGAAATGCTGAAAATGATCTTGCAGTTCATCGTTTTAGTTGGATCTACGGTAATTCTAATTTCCAAATTTTTTAAGTTACATACTACATGCATGCATCGCTATAATATTGGACGTAATATAATGTTTCAACTGTTAGAATATTATTGTTACCGATTACATTTTTCTCACCGTCAGAGACGAGCACATCAATTTAGCGGCCTTATGTGTGCAATCATGATGATTATATGTAATGTTCACAAAAAGGTGGAATATTGTTCATTAGCGTAAGTGAACAATGTAGTTCTTTTTTATCGCGCAGTTGATTTAGGATTTACGGTTTCATAAGATTTCTTATACTTCAGGATGGAGTACGTTTACCAAATATTTAAGGAAATAGTCTTTTCTAGACCTCTGCCATATTGTTACTCGTTTCTTAGCCATATAATGGTAATATTTATTAAGTCTGCGACATACCTGAAGAAACTCTGTGTTAATTCACGTAAGTAAATTATCGCGCGTTTTCATAGAATTTATCGATGTTAATAGAAATAATTCAAGGCTTTCTGAAATATTTATTTAATAAAGTATCATTTCTGCAGGGGTGATGGCAGTGAACAATTGGAAGGGTTCGCTACATTTTACTCCAGGTAAAAAATGCTGGACTTGTTTATACTCGAATTATCTATATTTACATATTGGTCGTTCGTTGCAGATGCTTGCCCGTTACAAATCTTTCTGGCGCAGGTGGAGAATCATTATTTTGACACAGTGGTCGCCCTAGACATTACGGACACGTTGTTGCAGTTTATGCAATACGTGTTGCAAACAGACGTGATTCCCTTAAGGTCCGAGACCTTGGAATCGTGTAACTGTTGCATGAAATTGCTGCGGTTCACTATGAGAACTCTGTTCAAGTGCACGGAAGCAAATTTAAGCGCTATCGGGGACTTCGACTCGCGTCACTTCCCTTTGCAGCAGGAAGACCGTTGCAAGTTGAAGAACGTTTGTCCCAAACATTCGGTGTCTCCGATAATAATAAATAATAAATGTATATGCGAGGTGTACAAAGACATATTTTCCGACGCAAACGCTTGGACAAGTTTGAAGAGGCGACAGGTGAAAGTATTGAGAGACGGAATACGATTCCTCGCTCACTTGGCTATATGCGATCCCGATTTCGTAATTCGGTTGTCGGACATCGAAGATTCTTTCCATTTGTTCATGAGGAACATAAGCAACTTCGACATTTGCCTGCACGAGAATGAACGTAAGTGTGCACACGCGTCTGTTCTACCCGAAGCCACGCTAATTTTAAAACTCTGCTCTCACCGATAAGCTCATTCAGCTCTTTTTTCCTTTCACTTTCGTTTCACGATATCGAGCTTTAATTTGGTCTCATCTTATCAGGCTGCCAGAAATATTTACATTTCCGCCCGGTCCATTCGTTCCATTTCGTCATCAGCTGAGGGGGTGGACTGGTTCAGTTTGGTAGACTCGGACAGATTATGCACAATCATTGATACTTTGTATACGTATACGTATTTCTTTCATCTTCCGGCTTTTTTTTTAGAGGGTTCATACAAATTTATCATTTCCACGACGTTCCAAAAATAGTTTCACAAAAAGTCTATCATTTCCTTGGAATCCGGAATACCGCTTTAAGTTTGGCCTTGTGAAATCCTATAAATTATTCAGTAAATTTTATAGCTTGTAATTTATATTTCGATAGATGTTATTATAACGTGACTGATCGTCTCTTTGATTTCGATAGAAGAGGCCATGGATCGAATAAAACAAACGTTCATATTCGACAAGGTGCCTCAGTCCGAGATCGAAGCATTTGGCAGCAACAGCACAAGCCAGCTAGATATACTATCAAGTTTTCAGAAGCGACCCGTTATTGGGCAGGCCCCCGAGAACCCGAAGAAGAACGAAAATCATAATAAATTTTTAACAACAATCAGATCACTGTATAACGGTAGAGTCGAGTTATCCAATCATTAAGATGTATTGCGAAGCGAATTATACAGGTAGGAGAAATTTTGTAAGATAGATTATATTTCGATACTGTGAGAACTAACAGTATCCGAATTGTGATGCCATAATACTTTGTATATAAATTTATTCTGATGAAAGTCGAAAATAATTACCGCATACTATTTTATAAAAAAAAAAGAAGAATAAATCGTGATATCATTATTTAAAGTGAATGCTTTATTCAATGCTCCGCCCTTGACACATCGTTCGAATTTATCAATAACATTATTATTATACTGTCCTTGCAATAATAACCTTCGGCCGATATCTTTTTTCCTTCCTTTCTCTCGTTCTTTATCTTCCAGTATTACTATATACTGTTATTACAATTGTCACGACGCTTGGACATCGTTCACTGGAACTTTTTAATCAATTCTTATATATATATATATATATAATATCTTATAATTCTTATATATTTTTTAATCAGCTTTTCTTTTCATATCTTCTGACGCGTCATCGACACCTTAGTCTAAACATTGTACATTTTACATTTCTTTGCACATATTTGGTTGACTTATAAA